CTAGAACTAACAATCAAGAAAAGATAAGAAGTTTCATTGATATGTAAAAAGAGATTACAACAGAGTGAATAAAGACATGGAAATCTATCTAAACTTCAAACACATCACAACTATTATCAAATAGAGCATTGCCTCTGATGAACAAATTTCATTGAATAATTTCAAATATACCTGCTAACTCAAACAGTTTAGACAACACACATCCATATGAAATGAATGATTTTTTAGAGTTCTTGGATGCTTGGATCGATAGCTTCAGATGATTGAATATTATTGTCGAAATATGAATTGGAATATTCTTACGAAGGCAATAAAGAAGACACATATCCCTAGGAAAACTATATTAATATTTTCTCCTCTAGGATGAAGATTTGTTAATAAAAATTGGAACCAGACTTTTGAAAGTGGTTTCAAGTGATTTGCACTAAGGGACTTAAATCTATATAAATAGTTAGGAACATTTGGAAACATGTCAACATTCACGCAGGAGTTGGGTAAAGGTGGACCGTGGATGGCTTCACCAATGGAGGAGCGAGTGATGGTAATCGAAACACCAAAGATGTGAAAATGAATGGTGTTTCCATCAAGACTAACAAAAGCATGGATCCAAAAATTCTTTAAGAGGTTAGGATAAGCAGGACCTCTCAGCATGGTTGCATACCCAAACCATCCTTGATTTTCAATGACCCTGTTGATGAAACCATCATCAGACACATAATTGGTCCTTTTCTCTTTGATTACTTCGAGAAGATTTTCATCTCCTTGAAAGGTTCTAATAGCCATGATATGTAAAAAGGTTTGAAGAGAAGAGATGATTGAAGATGATACAAGGATAATGACTTGATGAATGACTATAGATGAAAAGAGATATACATGGTTAGTCAATCAGTTCTCAAATTAAGACAATTGAAACACTTAAGTGACGTCTCAGACTACTAAGAGAAGGAAATGAAAAGAGAAATAGATCAAACATTAATATGAGAGAGCACATAAGCATTTAATCATGACATAGAATGTAAGACATAGACCTAGAGGTATGACATGAAATGACTGTTCCCAAGGAGTAGTTAAATAAATGTAATCATGATTAATCAATGTCAAGAAAAATAACTTCTCGTGCATGACCTAGGTAGAATGTGATAGATAATAAGTCTATTTAGGTAATGTGTTTGATATTCTCAAAGTCTGGAGAACCAAAAGGTTTCCAACGGATCAGGGACATTTTTGACCGAAACATATTTTGATAATTTGAGATAAACATATTAGACGTCTGTTGATTAAGTCAGAATCATATTTCTTCAGACTACGACTAGAACACAATTGATTATAATGACATATTACTTTGGACATAAATCCATTTTCAGATTATTTAGAATAAACAGAAATCTATCTTCAGCCAAGGGTTTTGTAAAAATATCAGTCCATTGATGGTCTGTATCTATAAATTTTAAAGATAGATTCCCTTTCTGAACATAATCTCTAATAAATTGATGTTTGATTTCTATGTGTTTAGCCCTAGAGTGTAGAATTGGATTTTTACTTAAGCAACTGGCAGTAATGTTATCACAGAAGATATGGATGTTACTTTCATATATCTGGTAATCTCCTAGTTGATTTTTCATCCATAGCACCCGAGTGTTGCATAATGCTGCTAATATGTACTCTGCTTCTGTTGTTGAAAGAGAAATTATTGATTGCCTCTTGCTTGACCATGAAATTAGATCCTTTCCTAGAAACTGACAATTTCCAGAAATGCTTTTTCTCTCGAGTCGATCTCCAGCATAGTCTGCATCACATAAGCCATAAAGAGAATACTCTGACGTTTTCTCATACATCAAGCCAATGTCAGGGGTTCCTTTTAGATACCTTAGAATCCTTTTAACACCAGTTAAGTGGGATTCCCTATGATCATATTGGAATCTAGCGCAAAGATGTACACTGAATAAAATATCAGATCTAGATGCAGTTAGTTACAGAAGAGAGGCTATCATACCATGATAGAGCTTCTGACAAACCTTTCCACTTATCTCTTATTTTTCCAAGATACATGTAGGATGCATTGAAGTCTTTGCTACAGTGCAGTCTGTCATGTTGAATTTCTTTAGAAGTTCTTTGGTGTACTTAGTTTGATGTATGTAAGTAGCCTCTGGTTTTTTATCAATCTGGATTCCCAGAAAGAACTCCAGTTCCCCCATCATGCTCATTTCAAACTCAGCCAGCATTTGCTTAGAGAATTTCTCGTAGAGAGATGAATTAGCAGAACCAAAAATAATATCATCGACATAAATTTGAACAATTAGAATATCATTTTTGATTTTTTTGCAAAAGAGTGTAGTGTCAACCTTTCCTCTGATAAACGTATTTTATAGCAAAAAATTGCTCAATCTGTCATACCAAGCTCCGGGAGCTTGTTTCAAGCCATAAAGAGATTTCTTTAGTTTAAAATCAAAGTCAAGTTTCTAATATTTTTCAAAGCCAGGAGGTTGTTTAACATACACTTCTTCTGAAATGTAACCATTCAGAAATGACTTTTAACATCCATCTGATAAAGAATAATATTATGATTTATAGAAAAGGAAACTAATAACCGAATAGCTTCTAACCTAGCAACTGGAGAAAAGGTTTATGTATAGTCTGTACCTTCTTGTTGACTATAAACCTGTGCAACCAGTCGAGCTTTGTTTTTGATTACTTCACTCTTCTCATTGAGCTTGTTTCTGAACACCCATCTGGTTCCAATGACGTGGACACCTTTAGGTTTTTGAACAAGATTCCATACGTCATTCTTTGAGAATTGGTTCATTTCTTCTTCCATATCCAAAATCCAGTCCTTATCCATAAGGGCTTCCTAAATTGATGTAGGTTCTATTAAGGAGACTAAACCCAGAAGTACTTCATCAGAAGGTTTGAGAGTCGATCTTGTTCTGACTGGAGCATCTTTACTTCCAAGAATAAGATCTTCAGGATGGGAGGATATGATTATGTTCCTCTTTGGTTAATTTTGATTAGAAGGACTATCAACATCATCAGAAAGATGAGCTTCTAATTCTTTATCTTCTTGTATCTTCTCATTTGGTTCAGCAAATGTGATAATCACATCTGCAAGCTTTTCACACAACTTTGACTATTCATGGTCAAGCTTATCATCAAAATTGACATGAATTAATTCCTCCACAATTTTTTATTTTGTTTTATAGATTCTGAAGCCTTTAGAGCGTTCATAGTATTCTAATAACAGACACTTCTATGATTTGGAATCAAACTTACCCAAATTCTCTTTAGTGTTTAACAAATATAAAATACACCCGAATGGAAGAAAGTAGGAAATGGTTGGTTTCTATTATTCCATAATTCATAAGGAGTCTTACATAAAATAGGTCTTATGGAGATTCTATTTTGAATATAACATGTTGTATTTACTGCTTCTGCCTAGAAATGCTTAGCCATTTAGGTTTCTTGGATCATGGTGTGAGCCATTTCTTACAAAGTTCTATTTTTCCTTTCCACAACCCCATTTTATTGTGGATTTCTAGGGAAAGATAAAGCATATACTATGCCATTTGAATCAAAAAGTTTTTCAAAATCTTTATTTTCAAGTTCTCCACCATGATCACTTCGAACTCTAACTATTCTGCAGCCTTTTTCATTTTGCACTTGGGAACAGAAGGAACCAAATACATAGTATGACTCATCCTTGTGTTTCAAGAATTTTACCCATGTCCACCTGCTATAATCATCAATGATGACAAGTTCATATTTCTTACCATTGACAGAAGCAGTTTTCACTGGTCCAAATAAGTCAATCTGAAGAAGTTCTAATGGCCTAGAAGTAGAAACAATCTTTTTAGCTTTGAAGAAGGTTTTAGAATATTTTCCTTTCTAACAAGCTTCACAAAGAAAATCTGAAGTATACTTCAGATTGGGCAAGCCTCTAACTAATCCAATTTTATTTAGTTGAGAACTTTTTCTCAAGCTAACATGACCAAGACGTCGATGTCAGACCCACTACTCTTCTTGAATAGTTAGAAGACATTTTACATTTTGATTTTTCAAATATGATAATCTTATTTTATAAATATTGTTCTTCCTCTTGCCATTGAGAAGAATCGAGTCATCCTTCTGACTAACAACTTTATAGCATGTTTAATTAAAGATCATAACCATTGTCACTAAGTTGACTGATTGACAATAAGTTATGCATCAAACCCTCGACTAAAAGAACATTATTAATAGAAGGAAATTTACCATTACCAATCCTTCCAGAGCCAATGATATTTTTCTTTTGATTGTCTGCGAAACCAACAATGCCTCCAGACTTAAGTTCCAAATCTTGGAACATATGCCTTTCATTCATCATGTGTCGCGAGCATCCACTGTCCAGGTAATATCTGATGGTTCTTTTAAAATTTATATATTTTTTAAACTAACATGTACATATTTTTCTACTTTTCTACGCTTAATTGTGGCACAAAAACCTTTTTTTTTATTGTATACCAGTGAGTCAAATGAGGAGGCTAATTTCACGTACATACTTTTCACTCTTGCCACAAACAAGACCATTTTCTTTCACTACTGTATTCTTGTAGTATTTATTTTGACAGTAACAACTACACTAAAAAAAGCCCTTGTTTTTGCTAATACTAAAATTTTCTAAAGAGTCTTTCTTGTACCTCCATTTTTTTACAAAATTCAAAACCACAAATTATTCACTAACCCTTACACAGTAAATAAATTTTCAAGTACATATTTTTTCCATCGTACATACATGCATACTTTCAATAGAACCATAATTTTTACAACATGTAATTAACATCACATTTCACCATCATTGATAACAAAAAAGCATGTAACAAACATTTACAACAACAAGAAATAATAAGAATCAAATTCACATTGATGTTGATTGTATTTTACTTTCTTGTTGTTTTGTTTTGTCAATTGCGTTTACAGGAACAAGAGAAGAGTTAGATTGCATAACACTGACCATAAGAGCTACAACATCAACACCTTGGGCCTCCGATCCTGCGCTCTGCATTATCTCCATGAATCGTATATCTCCGCATAACACTTCCACCATTGCAAGCCGGCAAAAGATTCCCAGAAATGAGCTCACCACGTGCGTCTTCGACGAGCGACTTTGACCACGGAACTGCAACATCAGCCGCCCTCCTGCAATTGTGCAAACATCTTTGCACAGCCCTTTCAATCGTACCTCCCATAACATCGCACAGCTCAAGGCCGACCATCTTCCACAGACGCACGACCCCCTGCAACCCCCACGAAGCACAACGCCATAGCCGCACCCTCTTGCACAAATTCTATGAGAAACCTCTGATTCAGTCCGTAAACACCCCTCCGTGACGCGACTCGCAATAATCAGACCTCCCTCTGCAAGCAGACCGCAACGACGCTTCAACCGGCGAGCGCTCCACCATGAGAACTAAGGCGAGCCGCCATGATCTCCGCCCTGATGATATCAACGCCACGATATGCTATCTCTGACCGTCGACCACCTGCATGCGGACCAGTCGCACCACCGCTTTCGGTCGATGATTGTCCTATGTATTTTTTTGTGTTGTTGATTGTATTTTATGTATTATGCAGTAATTTCAAAGTAAAACATTTTATGGGAGAAGAAATACGAAAGAGATGAGATTCTAAATTGGTGGTATCTCTTCTTTAACAAGTGTTTATTTCTATTGTTCTTAATTTATGTTAAATTGCCACGTGTCATGATCATATTGGATGATAAAGTTATTTTGAAAGTCCACTCATGTGGAACAGGAAAGAGGCACCCCCACCGATATTTTTATTTATTTATTTTAGTTTATCTTATTATTTAATTAAATGGAAGTTAGGGTTTTGTTGGAGTTGGGCTTTGGCCCAACCCTCATTTCTCATTTCTCTTATACACCACTTTCAATTCTTAACAGCACCCCCAACATTTAATCAATTTTTTTCTATTCTTTAACATTATTTTATTTTGATTATTACATTTAAATAATGTTAGTTAATTAAGTAAATTTTATTATATTAATCTAATTAATCTCGACTAATTAACCTAGAATAGTTATCTTTGCTTTATATAAAAATACAAAATATACTCCATTAATTCTAACTTAGCACTTAGTATAATATTTATTTTGGTTAGTTTTTAAATTGATTTTATTTAGGATTAATTTCATCTAGATTAATTATAATATTTCTCATTTAAGTCAAATTCCCATTTGTTACATGACTAATTTAAATATCATCACCTAATGGTATATAAAATAATTTTCTCAACTAAATTAATTCAATATTTTACAAGAATATTAAAAAATCTACGCAATTCACCAATGGGCGACACATGGCTAATATTTGGCCTTGTGAAGAGGAAGATTTTATCAGACTTCCTGTGTATCCTTCATGACGAGCGACACGCGGTCAATATCTGGCCACGTTATGAGGAGACTTTATCAGACTTCCCCCGCTCTGTGTCCTACCATACTCGTTATCGATTAAAAACTCAAAACAGTTAATCAATCTCAAATCATTCTTTTTTCCACTAACATAACAAAATCCAAGATATTTTCATAAAAAGGATTGAGGAGAATTTCTTTCAAAATTAACTTCAAACTGCGTCTACGATCACTCAACTTACAACCCAATCAAGGTTCAAGGATAATCTGAAATCAATTCTACACAATCCTATAAAAAACACCAATCAACACTACAAAATATGAATTGCGACTCTGATTCCTCATAAGAGGATACATAGACATACGACTGAAAATTGTGGCGAGTTCCCCTAACTAAAAAAATTAAAACCCTATTCCTAAACCTTAAACCTAAACTCTAGTATCCTTGCGAACAAGGTAAATGAAGGTGTAGCGGTAGAAATATTCAAGACTAAGTCATTGGATTGACTAGACTTTATACAAATCAAAATAAAAATCGCCACCCGCGCTTTATTGTTTCCAAAGGAATGGGAAAAGAGCGAATAACCCAAAAAAGGGGGAAAGATTCAAGGTAAGGGGGATTGGTTATGCAAAGGGAAGGTATTAGCACCCTAAACATCTACGGTACTCCACATGAACCTCTTTGTAAAATCTGTATATTTTGGCTATAAAAAAGCGTATAGAAAATGAATGGTGGAGGTGAGAAGAGAAATATATTTTTTATAATTTTTGCACCCGCCGCGGTTGCAAACCTTTAGTGCCTACGTATCACCTTTCGTGCAATAGGGGATCAGGATACACGTAGTTCCTCTTTTAAAAAAAAGAAACACAAGTGTGTTGGTTAATTTTAAGAGATAAGACATCATCGTCATTGTCCGTGTGGAAAACATACTTACTACCCACAATCATGAGAAAGGAGAATTTGCATCATCTCAAAGTGGAGGATATGGCTTGGATTTTAAAATCAACAATGCCTCACTCAACACCCAAGTGGAAAATATCTCACTTCACTACATATTATAGAAGTATAGTTGTTTGCATTACTACAAGGATTGACAAGAGTCTAATCTTTTGAGAAAAGTTTAAAGTAAAAGCCAAAGTGGAAAAAAATGGTTTGAAATGAGATTGATTGACTTTTAGTCTTCTCATAAAAAATGTCAAGGTATTATTAAGTTGATTGAAGTTTATTTATGAAAAGATTTTGAAAATGCATGGACCTAGGTCCAAGTTTATTATGAAAGTGATTCATGTTTCAAAACAAGAAGAGTTTTAAAAAAGGAGAAAGAAGATTTTTGAAATTGAAGAAGATGGGAGGAGGAGAAGAGACTATCCTAAAGCATAAGGTAAAAGCTAAGGATAAGGACCATCTAACCAACAAGAAGCCAAAACTTGACATTATGAGCCAAGATAGAATTTCCATTCTTTGGATTGAAACCAAGCAAGCAAAGATACTAGACCTCTTCAAGTGTATTAAGTCTTCACAAAAATTGGGCAGAGTAACGGTTGTATGCGGGTGAATTCCAGATTACAAACAAAAGATGTAATCACAAAAACCCGCACACAAAAACAAACAAGCAACCCAATGTCTTGAGGTAAACCTCAGGAGCTCCAGACAAAATAATTAGATAAGATCACAAGGTCTCCAAGATAGGCCAAGGTTTCTAATCCTAAGTCCAAGAAATAGTCCCATGCTCCATAATGCCAAGGATAGTAACCAAATAGTCCAAGTACCATTAAGAGTTTTTTAGGGTTTAAGTTGATTATTAAGTATCTTAGGAAAAGAAAAAAGAAAAGCTCAAGTGAGAAAAGTAAAAATGACAAGAATATAAATGCTCAAATGAGCAAAGATGAAAATGGAATGAAATAAAAATGCTAAAAAATAAATAGTACATAAAGCATAAAAGAATAAAAGCATAAAATAAACATGTCAATAATTAGTGGTTAGTTGGATGACCATCTTGAAACTTGCATTTGGAACTCATTAGAGGATTGGTAGAACCAAAGCCTCCACACAATAAGTTGCATTTGCTTTTTATCAAGTATATCATCCATTTGGAATTCTCACAAGTACCATTTAATGATCAACGATGTTTAAGTGATCCGCGTTGACCAAAGGTGTTGTAGATCCATTAGAGGATTGGTAGAACCAAAGCCTCCATAAATGAATCTCAAGGTTATTGGATCAAAGAGATCAAATTAACATACTTGGGCTTGCAATCATAAGTTTGGGCCACGAATGATCATTTATTCGAATTGAGACAAAATTTAGCGCTATGTTAAGCAATCGTAAGTGGACTTATATATAAGTCACACCTATTTTGAGGCCGGTCAATAGCAATCTATGCACCATTTGTTTTGAGACATGATATAGAGATCATGCTCTAACAACATTTAGTGCAATGAGAAGGGGATGAGATGAAGAGGAATTAGGGCAAAAAGAGAAATAAACCACTTTTGAATTAATAATTTAATCAAACTATTATTAAAATCATTCATCCATTTTGGTGGAGTTGAACTCAACACCCAAGATCTAATGATGTTAATAAAGTCATGATCAAAAAATCAACTCAAGACAGCCAGAAAATAATCACAAAATAAACATATATTCAATATATACATTAAAAGGTTAAAAAATGTTTTTTTTAAAAAGGAAAATAATGAGGAAAATATCAATTATATTCAAATTAAACAAGAAATGAAAAAATAAGATCATAGAAAAATCAGAAAAGAGGCCAAGTAATTTTACAAAACTTTTGGGAATTTTTAAACGTCAGAAACTATTTTTAAAAATTAAATTAAATGGGTAAAATAAACAAAAAGAGTAAAAAATAGTAAAGTCAGAAACTAAAATAAAATAAGGTCATCAATATTTGTCACAATATCATTAGATCATTCCATAATTTTTTCAGAATTTAAAAATGTGTAAAAGTATTTTTAAACATTTTAAACAAATCAAATAAGTGTAAAATTCATAAAAAATACCAAAACACAAAATTAAATTGTGAAAAAATAAAAATCAAAAAGAGAATAATCAAAAATATTATTCATAATTTTTTTCAGATTTTTTGGATTAAAAATGAATTTTTTATGATTTTTTGAAATTTAAAACAATTAAAATATAAAAATCAGAAAAAGAAAATAAAAGAAAAAGATGTGGACCATTGGATGAGAGTCAAAACGCGTTAGTAATCAAATCCAAAGGATCTGGCGCGCTGTGCATATCATGGTCTTTAATGAATAATATACATAATCATTAATAAAATCAGAATTTAAAAATAACAAATGTCACGCTTTCATTGGTTAGAAGATGACACGTTGGTCATCTTCAACCTCCAGCCTTCACGAATTGCAGGTCTCTCAAACTGTAAAATCAGGAGCTCAGACCTATGCCATTCGCTTCGTCTCTTCAAGACGAAGACAACGACACCCTCGCGCCAAATTTATATAAACTGTAACTCAAGCAATTTGGAAAGAAAGTTTTGAAAAGGGATTTGAAAATTCATGGTCAAAACGTGCTTCCAGATAAAAGTAAGTGTTGCGACTAGAACCAGGATAATAAGAGCAACACAATGATACCAAAGTTTTGAAGAATTGATTAAGGAATCTACCTATTGAAGTTGAGTTGCAGAGCTCTGAAACTGGACTTCTATGGAGCAATATAGGGCACGATTCTTGAATGTGATTATATGGTTAGCTTCAGGGAAGATCGAGGAAGGTGAATTGATGGAAAAAATGGATTGAAAAAGGCTTGAGAATAGGATTCGAAGTAGCTGAATTCTGAGTTGTGAAGCAAGTTTGGCAGTGTGATTCTGGCTATCTAAGCTTGGGAAATTGAATGGGGGATGACCCTCTATTTATAGGGAATCAAATGGAATGTTCAAGCGTGTGGAATGATGCAAATTGGAGGGAAATCGTGTGAACCTGATGCACGAGCAAAGTGTGATATGATTTGCATCAAAACTCATCTAATCCTTGCGTTTCAAGGATCTAATCCA